ATGGGCTGGAACCTGAACACAAGCAAACAACAAGTCTTTATTGGGGGGGTGCAGGGACAAGATAAATAAAAACTGGTGGATTTTACTGCTTAACTCATATTCTACAAACGCAATAATAAACAGAATGTTGTGTTTAGACTAGTCGGGGCAAACAAATAATGTTATAAACAATATTTGACCTGACGTCCTGTTTAAACAATAGGGAATGTTATTTAAAAACAACAACAACAAAAAACAAGATCTTGAACCTTTTAGGGAGCGTTTGCGGGTGCACAGAAAATTTAATTTGACTTTTCTTTAAACAGTAGAGAACCTTTGAAAACATGCCTGGCAGTTCAAAAAGGATTTTTAGAGATCTTGCTGTAAACATGAAAATTAATACTTTAATCATGCTTTATTTGTTTAAAGATAATTCTGAAGTTCATAATGCCTTGCTTTAAACAGTGTTAAAAAAACAACTAAACTTTGGCCTAGTTTTGAATATTCAGGATGCATCTGATAACTATACTGTGCAGGCAAAAGAAAGACAAGTGACGGCAATAATCTAAAGAGAGGCTTTAAGAGTTAAATCAGATTTACCGTATGGATTATGAGGGGGTCTTTCATGGGGTGCCCAGTCTTCTCCATGTCGCCAATACCCTCAAACTCCTCCTGGTCATATTTACTGTAAATGTCCTGATCCTGAGGAAAACATATCAGAAATTTGCATTAAACATAATTTCTGAAACCTATTTGTATCAAAATTTAAGTAACCACAAACAGCAATATATTACAGCCCCGCCTTCCCACAAGCACGCAACCACCGTCAGATGCACTAACTTTTTCAAAACATACTCCTACTCTACTCCCCTTGACACACACGTACACACTACTGTACTCTCACAAGTGAATCCTACTTGGGCATCCGAGTCATCAAAACCATCTTGGCCATCCTCCAACTCCACTGTGGCCTCGTTTTCATCCTCGTCTTCGTCAGGCCGCAAAGAAGGGCTGCCCCGAGCAGGTGGCGGGGCGGTGCCAGCCTCGGGCACTGCATCATCGCTCATATCCTCAAATTCGGCAAAGTCGTTGTCGTCGAAGTCAGCCAGGTCCTCGCCATCATCAAAGTCATCATTGTAGCGTCCACCGGAGACTGGGAAGGCCAGGAGCAGGAGGAACAGTGGGAGCAGCAGGATAGATAAATGTCGCATGGTGGAGCCTGTGCAGGATTTCCACCAAACAAGAAAGGGAAAAGTGATGTAATCATCCAAGGTTTATCATCTTTCTCCTGTCATCCTGAAATACATTTGATCAGGACTTGTTAACAACCCCACCAATTTGTTTTGTCATTCAATGGAGGAAATTAGAGTACAAGACTTTTTAATTAGCTACCTTAGTAGACTCTTCAAGATCAAACTGTGTCGCAAACGCCACCTTAGCAACGTATTCGACGAAGACACGTTGTCATAATACAGCTAATAAAACTGTAGCGTTGCTTATATGCGCAATTTCACCTTGGACACCTGTCAGTTTTTGTGGGATTGAATACCTCAGCCCACACGTAATCAGACCCCTGCACCCTACCATCCCCCCTATCACTTTCTTACGAACCAGCTCTGCCGCTAGCATGCTAACTAGCGACCACAAGCCCGAGCTCACAAATGAAAAGTGACACCATAACACTTATTGAACAGATTCAAGTACAAGAATTCTACCAGCTTACCGGACCCTTCCTGTTGGATTCGCGTTACGATATCTGCTCTCAAACAGTCCCCAAATATTCTCATTTACTGCAACGGGTGGCTGGAGGAAGCTTGACACGGATTTAACCTCTCAAAGTAAAACTAAGGCGGCGAGACTTCCTTTGTCAACGCGAGAGTTTGGGCATGACCGCAACGCGAGCTGACGTTGGACTTCCCAATGGCGAGACAGCATAAATATGTTCATATCTATCCTTCATCCTTTTTCAACATTGCTTATCCTGAAAGAGGGTTGCGGGTCTTACTAGAGCCTACCCCAGCTGACTTCGGGCCGAATGGGGACTCCATCCTGACCTAGGTCGCCAGTTAGTCGCAGGGCACAAGTTCATATCGAGACGTTTTTTTTTAACTTCAAATCAACATCGGAACAGGCTGTTTCAAAGTTTAAGTAGCACCGTATGAAATCCAATCTTATTAAAATTAAACTCCTGAAAGATCATTTACGTGACAGAGCTTTCGATTAGGAGGCGATGTACAAAACAGAAAGAAAACTCAAGATTTTCTTCCA